GAAAACATTCCACAAAATGGGACAAAATACTTGCAAATCATTTATCAAACAAGCATTCTGTATCCAAAATATGTAAAAAACTTTACAATTCAACAACAAAAAGACAAATAACTGAATTAAGAAATGGGGAAAAGGGGCACCTGGGTGGCTCAGTCAGTTAAGCTTCTGCCTTGATTCGGGTCATCATCCCGGGGTCCTGGGATTGAGCCCAGAATCGGGCTCCCTGCTCAGCAGGGAGTCTGCTTCTCCCTCTTCCTCTGTCCCTCACCCCACTCAGGCTCTCTGTCTCTCTCTCAAATAAATAAATTCTTTAAAAAATGGGGAAAAGATCTGAAAGGACTTCTTCAAAGAAGATATACAAATAGACAATAAGCACATGAAAAAGATGTTTGACATCATTCGTTATTAAGGAAATGCAAGTTAAAATCACAATGAGATACCACTTCACAGTGGCTACAATTAAAAATGGAAAACAAAGTCTTGGCAAGGATTGGGGAAATTGGAAACTCTGTACATTGCTGGCAGGAATGAAAATGGTGTGGCCACTGTGGAAAACAATTTTCTGGTTCCTCAAAAAGTTAAACACAGAATTACCTTATGGTCCATCAATTTCACTCCTAGGTATATACCCAAAAGAAATGCAAAGAGGTACTCAAACAAATACATATATAAGCATATTTACAGCAGTATTCACAATAACAAAAGGTAGAACAAGTCCGAATGTCCATCAATAATGGATGGATTAACCAATTGCAGAATACACACACAATGGAATATCATTCATCCATAAAAAAGAACAAAGTAGTGATATATACTACAACTTGCATGAGCCCTAAAAACATGCTCAACAAAAAAAGCCACACATAAAAGGTCACATATTTTATGATTATTTCTATAAAATGTATCCAAAATCAGTAAATCCATAGGGACAGAAAAGCAGAGTAAACATTACCAGTAAATAGAGTAAATGGGGAATAATTACCTCCCTCCCAAATCAAAAAGACATCGGACCTGGCAAGTAGATATTTTGCTGTGCTGCTTGAGGTGAAATCTGGGTCCATGAAATGAATGGACACTGGAAGACTGCAACAATGCAGAAATGGATTGAATCGACATTTCTCTTGCACACTCTGAAGTGCAAAATGCCACCAAGAATTGTTCTGGCTGATAAGAGGAGATAACAGAGAATGCAGATGGCTCTGGGATAGATTCCCTGAAGGGAAGGCCCTGCACATAGGTGGCAAGTTAGACTATCCTGGTAGCTCCAGGAGGCAAGAAATACTTCCTGACATAAACAGACATCTATTGTGGACTGGGCTATGCATACCTCCTGGTAGATATAAATGCTCAAAATACTAAAAAAAAGATCTACAACAAAAGATACTGTATCAATTTGGACTGACAGCTCACATTTCCTCAGATCGAAGAACACATTTTCATCCTGAGAGTAACAGTTTGATAGCGAACAGAATGAACAACTGAAACATTTTTTTTTTTTTTTTTTGGTCTAAAATGCAGAGAATAAAGGCATGAGGGTTGACTTGCAAGATTTCATGAGTATGTACAGACACTCAACATGAACAGGACCCAGAGGATGTCTCTCCCTTTCTCTGGGCGATCCAGAGAAGAGAGGGTGGAGAAAGATGCTGGTATAACAATATTTTTTTGTTTTCCTCACATGACCTCAACACTTTTTTTCCTACTGGTTCTCAGACCAGAACTGCAATTGCAGATGCCCAAACTGGGATAAATGGTATATCCGTTCTCTAGGGCTGCATAACAAAGTACACCAACTGAGTGGCTTCAACAACAGATAGGTATTGTTTCACCGGGGTGGAGGCTAGAAGTATGAGATCGGGGTGTTGGCAGGGTTGGTTCCTTCTGAGGGGTATGAGGGACAATCTGTTCCATGACTCCTTCCTAGCCTCTGGTGGCCTCAGGTGTTCCTTGGCTTCTAGACGGCAATCTCCCTGTGTCCTCACTTCGTCTTTCCTCTACGTGTATCTGCCCCTGCGTTCAAATCTCCTCTTTTCATAAGGACACAGTCATATTAGATTAGGGCACACTCTAATGACCTCATCTTAACTTCATCATCCACAAAGGCCCTATTTCCAAATACAGTCACATTCACTAGTACTATGTGTTAGAATGTCAGTAACTTGCGTGTGTGTCGGGGGAGGGTATAATTCAATCTATAACAATCTCTAAGCAAAAAACTGTAACTATACTTTTAAACCATTATGATGAAATTCCTAAGGGTCTGATGGGGTAGATCAGGCTTTCACCCCTCTAACAAAATTGAGGTTCACAGGAAATGCAGCTAAACTGCCTAGTGGTCAAGAGAGCTCACTAATTCTGTACCTGTGTAGCCCTCCCTATATGAATGGGAGTGGACTGAGGGGAAAGCACCTACCACGCTAGAATTGCTATCAGCAACCTATACCAGCACAGGGGCCAAACCTAACATTCCTTCCAAAGGAAGAAAAGTTAAGGTATAAATGGAAAGAAGGAAGAATGGTAGCTGAGGATAAAGGAATGAATCAACAGTTATGCAATGAAGGAAATCCAGCATTACATTCATTGGTATCTCAAAACAGGCCTAGAACAAGAAATAATATTGCCTGTAGCTTAAGTGTACCACATGCCTGAAAAAGTAGAGCCACGTTGTTGAGACTGTTCTTGCTTTTAGAACCTGACAATGTCAAATGAAAGCCTGCAAACTTAAGTGGCATAGTTCTGGGAGATCTTTTGGTCATGTAATATGACAGTGAACCGGAATAATTACTCATGCCTGAGTGGAGCTGTAGTAATGCCTCAGTATCTTCTGATTCATATTTCAGGTTGTATTTACTACCATACTGCAATGTGATGGGGCACTAACCTTGTTAGTTAAGAATCAGTTCTATTACTTAAACAAGTATTATAATAATACTGATGTTGATAGTCAAGTATATTTGGAAACTGGGTTAATGCTTCTTCAGAATATAATACTGATGCAAGAATGAATGGCCTGAGAAAGAACTGGATTAGTTAACCACCAGCTAAATTGTATGCTCAAGAGTTCTGCACAAATTTAGTGGAAGGAATAAACAGTGTCAAATCGAGGGGGAAAATGTAATTAAATTAGTATAAACAAATGAAAATGTATGTAACAGTTTTATAGGCAGATCCATTATTTAAATCTATCCCATCCCCACACTGGCTCCTCCAAATATTAGGGATATTCATACTGAGACTACTGGACAAATGAGATGCAGTGAAAGTGATACTGCATGACTTTCAAGGGTATGGTATAAAGGCAACGTGAGTTCCACCTGGCTCTAGTTTCTTGGAATACTCACACCTTGAACTGTGTCCCACCATGCTGTGAGGAAGCCCAAACTAACTCATGTGGAAAGACCACATGAGGGGCACCTGGATGGCTCAGTCGTTAAGCGTCTGCCTTCAGCTCAGGTCATGATCTCAGGGTCCTGGAACTGAGCCCCACATTGGGCTCCCTGCTCAGAGGGAGACCTGCTTCTCCCTCTCCCACTTCCCCTGCTTGTGTTCCCTCTCTCACTGTGTCTCTCTCTGTCAAATAAATAAAATCACAAAAAAAAAAAAAAACAAAGAAAGAAAGACCATATGAAGAGTCACCAGAGCCGACTGCACCCTGCGCAACTTCTTGACTTCAGAATCATAAATGCTCACTGCATGTCACTAAGTTTTAGGGTAAATTTGTTACATGGCCATCAATAACCAAGCAGTGCTCAAGTAATTCACAGCCCAGAGAAAGATAAATAAGGATACAATGAACTAATATAAGGCAAAATGTAATAGCCACTACATAGAAGTAAACAAGGGGACTTGGAAAAAATAAGCAAAGGAAAAAGGGGCCTTGGAAGAGGAAGGAACATAAAGAAATAAGTCTAAGGTATGGAGCACTGGGCGGCGGGGGCGGGGGTGCAGAAAAGTCTTCAAAGAAGGAATCTTTGAAAATCTAGCACCTAACAGAAGACCTTGAAGGGAAATAGTGCCAACAACAAGAAAAAGGAAGGTGTGGTAGGACTTGGTGACAAGGTAGTATATATATAGGTCTCCTTAGAGACAAAATTCAACTTTTTTTTTTTTTTACGTGATCACAAATACTGAAAGAATATTAAACTATTTGAAGGACAGTGTAGGAAAGAGTCTAAAAAGAAACAAGTTGGTGTTCTATTGACTGTGATCATATGAAATAATTAAATTTCTTGCTGTTACTCTCCATGCAAAGGGCTAACTCTGACCCTAAGACATGAAAACCACTTATCAGCACTTCCTTTGATGTACTGGCCAAGGTAAAACCCAGTACTTTGCTTGCTCATTGTGCCAGACCCAATATCAGTTTAATGACAGCAATTCTCCACAGTTAGCATTCCTGGGAGTTCTAGGGGTGATTTACAGGGAGGCATTTGTCTTGAACCGAAATGAAAAGTACCTAGTAATAGCCATAAAAAGCTGAGTAAATTCATAAGCTGCTTTAATTGCTGAAATTTACCCCCACTTTCCTGATAAGGGCAAGAAGATTATGTCTACAGACATCAAGCTGACAAACTGGGAATAATCATTACTTACCAAACAAAATCAAAGTATTTATCTCTTGTACAAGTAGAAGCCTGAAAGCAGTCCCTTTGAGATGCCTTTGCCAATTGCCAAAGTTGCCAATGACTAACTTTTCAGTCTGTTTAGGAGATACCTTCAATTTGGGACCCCTCCCACTAAGTCAGACTTCCTCTTAAAGTGGTCAGATAGGCAGTCCTTAAAAACCCCAAACTTTATAAAATTTCTGTTCTGGGACACCTGAGTGGCTCAGTCAGTAAGCGTCTACCTTCAGCTCAGGTCATGATCCCAGGGTCCTACTCAGCGGGGAGGCCTGCTTCTCTCACTCCCTACCACTCCCCCTGCTTGTGCTCACTCTCCCTGTCAAATAAATAAATCGCCAAAAAAATAAAGAAATAAAATAAAATTTCTGCTCTCCTCACCTCATAAAACTTTTTTAAGGAGCCCACCAGGCACAGCTTCAGGCTATCCACAATCTCCTGATGAGGCATCTGGAATACCACTCGTGAATACCATTTTGTGAGAGTGCTGGGGAAGAGGCAGTAAGAGAGAGACAGATGAACACACACTCGCAGAGGAAGGTCCACAATCTGAATGTCAGTACACACAGGCTCCTCCATGCACCAATACAAATACCTAGTAAATGCATTTGTGTTACAGGTAAAAACACATGGCAATACAGGGAAAAATATATGCCACATATAGAATGTAAAAATATAGACATAATTGTGATATTTGCTACAAAACCACTTCCAGCTGAAAAAATTTAACCACCTAGATAACCACCAACAGAAGACTAAATAGTGCTCTAGCATACAATAAATTCCATGCAGCAGTTAAGAAGAATTGGTTGAGATTTATTTGTATGGACATGACGAAATGTCAGCAATATATAATTTAAGTACATAAAACAAGCTAAGGAATAGTATACACAATAATATGCCATTTTGTATACATATATACACCACCTATATGTGTTACTATGTGCATAAATGAGAATCTAGAAGTATATATACATCAAAATTTTGGTGATAGTTACTAAAAGATGGCCCATAAGGTACTTTCACTTTCTAAATTTCTGTAGTTATCTGCATGAGCATGCCTTGTTTTTACAATCAGAACAAAAAAAATTCCTCATTTCTGGGGGAAAAATCCACTAAGACACAGCCCGCATTTTGAAAACGATTACACCACAGCCAGGGGAACAAACTTACAGATCTGACAAGTCTGGTAAATAGACTAGATAAACTACTAGGAAGATAAAGGAGGAAAAAGTTAAGTATACTTTCATAAAGTATACTTTTACTGTAATACAAAATATTAGAAAGCATTCCCTGGATTTATAGTAAGACTGGCATCAAAATGAGGTAACCGAACAAAATGGCACTATAAGTAGTACTTACAGATTGATGCTTGCAACGAAGCCAACCACAGATCGCATGCCTCGGCTAGGATCATGGTAAACATCCATCCCAATCACCATTAATTGTTTCTGAGTTAGAAAACAAAAAACAGACCCCAAACAACAAGCAATCCATCACCCCATCTTTTTGTTATCTGTACCCCCAAAAGCAACATATGAAAATAAGTTCTGGGAAAGGAAGAGAAAGACTGACATCAACTTGACATTTTTTTAAACACTATGAACGAGTCAGAGATCTAGAACAGGATCAGCACACTTCTTCTGTAAAGGACTAAATAGTAAATACCGTTGGGCTCTGTGAGCTACACAGTCTCTGCAGGAACTCTCCAGTTCCATCTGTCGTTACAGTACGAGAGCAGCCGTAGCTAGTCTATAAAGAAGTATGGTTGTATTCCAATAAAACTACACTTAAAGACACTGAAAATGGATTTTCAAATAATTTTCATGTGTCAGGAAATATTAGTCTTATTTTTATTGGTTTCAACTGTTTAGATTTATAAAAACCATTCTCAGCCTGTGGGCTATACCAAATCAGGCTATGAACCGCTTAGACTACTAAGCATGGAGAATAAAGATAACTCTATGAGGAAAACAACTAGGTAGGAGTCTCTGGAGAGCTAAATTGAATGAAGACACATCTCAGCATCACTCACCAGAGGAATATCCACTCCCCAGAGCTCACCACCCAATTTACAATTAATCTGAAGTAAAATTTTCTGCGCCACACTCCGAAGCCTGGTTGGCTGACCAATGGTTCGGACATTGATGACCTATAACAAAGGGGTGTGGGGAAAGAGGACACTATCAGCTTGTCAGATGATGTAAACAGGCCTAAAGTAAACACTACATTTGTTTAGGAAACTCCAGTTAGCAGATAATACACTTTGACCAGTTCTAATTCTAGGATTTCTAGGCAGGCATTGCACTCACACATACACACTCCCCACAAACACAAAACAAAACAAAACAAAACAATAAACAACTAAAAAACAAAAACTTTCAAAAGAATCTCATACAGGATAATTTTTTTTAAACCTACTAAGGAAAAACAGCTTTCCCCTTTCAGAGGGAAGCCTATATTCTCAGAACCCAGTCATGTGAAACCACCCAGCAGCTCACCCACTGAACCAGCAAGAGTAACTCATTTGGGAACAGGAAGGCAGCATTTACAAAGAGCATCTGCTTTTAACCAGGTTACTCTAATAAGGGGAATGTTCCACCAGACAGCATACACGCATGGCTTCTAATAGTTACTTCAGTCTTTTTGAACACCTGTATCCCTCTTTTCAAAGCCTCAAGAGAGGCTAGAGTTTCCATCTGTGCCTCCTGCCCAGCTCCCACTCACCTGTGAGGGCACAGGAGCCTGCACACAGCACAGCTTTTTAATGGCCCCATAGAGATCGTCACGTGTGCCCATAATGATGCAAACAACCATCTGTATCTTCCCCTTGAGGAGATAAAGTACATAAGTCAGGCATTGAAACTCTCAGGGCACCTTGATGGGGCTCCAGCTGGGGGCAGTCTAAGAGCCTGCAAAGTCGTGGGACCTTTAAGGCAGAAGAGGACTGAAACAAAGACGGTAGACATTCCAACCCCAAACAGGTCTTTGAATCTTTGCTGGGTTCAGGGCTTCTTTGCACAGATATGGAATATGATACCATAAATTATCTAGAGCTGGTCCTGACCAACTGACGTCTTTCTTAGGACACTTAAGATGCCTGGAAAAGGCAGGCTTGAAAATCTGCAAGGGTTACTTAGTTGCTGCTTTCAATTCCCTATAATGCTTTTTTTTACCATTCTCTTCAGTAAACTAACCACCTTATTACATTCATACCACAAAACTGAGGAAACATGGAGTACAATACCACAAGAAACTATTAGGAGCCGAACACAAACAAATGAAGCTACAGCCAAATCCGTAAGTGGCTCTTCCTTACTCTCTGGTTACAAGACAGAATAGTATCGCCAGCAGAGTATCTCATACAAGCATCCTTGACCCCTTACTGTTTAATAAGAGTTCCAACACCAGAGGGGCACCTGGGTGGCTCAGTCGTTAAGTGTCTGCCTTTGGCTCAGGTCAGGATCCCAGGATCCTGGGTTTGAGCCCCACATCGGGCTCCCTGTTCATCGGGAAGCCTGCTTTTCCCTCTCCCACTCCCTCTCCTTATATTCCCTCTCTTGCTGTCTCTCTCTGTCAAATAAATGAATAAAATCTTAAAAAAAAAAAAAAAAAAAGAGTTCCAACATTGGAAACACAGGACCTTTCAAAAATAAAGAAAAGTGAAATGAAGGTGCTAATCCTTTATGCCAGAAAGAGCTACTAATGACAAATCAATAGTATATTATTCCAAATCAAGATTAGTGTTAGATTAAGACCTCTCTGAGGGACGCTTGGGTGGCTCAGTCCGTTAAGTGCTTGCCTTTGGCTCGAGTTATGATCCCAGAGTTCTGGGATCAAGTTCCACATCCAGTTCCCTGCTCAGTGGGGAGCCTGCTTCTCCCTCTGCATGCCTCTCCCCTTGCTTGTGCTTGCACGCACGTGCTCTATGACAAATAAATAAGCAAAATCTTAAAAAAAAAAAAAAAGACCTCTCTAAGAACACATTCTAGTAATCACATCAAAGAACTTCAAAAGTCACGGAGAACACAGGCTGCACACTGGGAGCCTATGGGCTGGACCTACCAAACATGTAGCTTTTTAGTCCCTACAGTGACTTACATGTGTTGTTTTTTATTAATACTTTTTACATTTTATTATTATTATTATTTAAGATTTTATTTATTCGTTTGACAGAGAGAGACACAGCGAGAGAGGGAACACAAGCAGGGGGAGTGGGAAAGGGAGAAGCAGGCTTCCCGCTGAGCAGAAAGCCTGATGTGGGGCTCAATCCCAGGACTCTGGGATCACAATCTGAGCTGAAGGCAGACGGTCATCGACTGAGTCACCCATGTGCCCCTATCATTTTTTTTTTAAGTAGGCTCCATGCCAGTGTGGGGCCTGAACTCATGACCCTGAGATCAAGAGTCACATGCTCTCCCAACTGAGCCAGCCAGGTGCATCCCTCCCTTTTTAAACTAACATTTAGGGGCGCCTGGGTGGCTCAGTGGGTTAAGCCATTGCCTTCGGCTCAGGTCATGATCTCAGGGTCCTGGGATCAAGCCCCGCATTGGGCTCTCTGCTCAGCAGGGAGCCTGCTTCCTCCTCTCTCTCTACCTGCCTCTCTGCCTGCTTGTGATCTCTCTCTGTCAAATAAATAAATAAAATCTTTAAAAAAATAAAATAAACTAACATTTAAACATAAGGAGGGGCACATACACACAAATCCAGATTTTCTTGCTTCTACTGAAAAAGGAGTAAATTAAAAATTAATTTGATAATGCTGTGCTTTTATAAGAGTCATAGGGTTTACTCTCATTAGTTCACTACAATCAGCTCCCAGCTAAATTCACTTGCATTATTCACCTGGCTCCCGCAGACATCTGAGTTTGAGACCCCTAATAAATAATACAACAGCATGCCCTGAAGACAACAGAGACAAGACCAATTATGAGTTAAGTTTGGTAAATGTGATGAATGAACATCATATCCATGCTGCATGAAAACTGATAGCAGTATACTCTCCTAAAGAGAACGTGGCAAGTGGTGTGATGGGGGAGCTGAGGTCGTACACAGGGTTATTCTTTTGAAAGCAGAGCAGAATTATCAATGATCAGGCGTAGGGGGAGGCCACACCAGACTACAAGCGTGGGAAACCAGGAAGAAATTACAAAGAGAGACAGAACACAAGGGTGCTGCTCTGAGTGATAACCTAGAGCGGGGAGGGGCAGGGATAAGAGAGATCCCAAGACAATCTCATTCCAGTACTGCTCTCCCATGAATGGACTCTTCCAGTCAAAGACTAATTACTTTTGTTGAGGGCCCTCCTTAAGCTTCTTCCTCTGTTTCATCTACAAACAGGTAAGAACTGCAGGCCTGAACTACAGAGTTACGAGTGCTGAGACCTGCTCAGCTCCAGTGGTCCTGATCAGCTGTCAGGACTGAGCTGATGGGCCAGGTGCCAAGTTCATTGCCAGAGCAATTCAAATCTTAAGCCAGACCGGACTGTGACAGCTAAATACTGAATCGTGCAAAATGGCACTGGGCCCAAAAAGTTGCTTTCTGAGCACAACATGTTCTATATAGATAACGAACTAAAGTTAAGTCAGCTATTCGGTCTATTAAGTGAAAAAAGAACACAAGAGTGAGGCTGCCAACATAGAATGAGAGCAGCAGAATTAACCAAAGGGCATAAAGACTACTTAGTTCATTATTTCATGTGTACATGAGTAACAAACTGGTTTCTGGGCATCAAAAACAGTAGACTGACAACCAAAATCATTTAAAATCAAGTGTTCAAGTATTTTAAAACAGGCATTCTATAAATATACTCAAATTAAATTAACTTATTACCTCAACTCCTAGCATGGATTGAATGGTTCTGACATAGGTTTCTATTCGATCATCCTTTAGTTCAACCCAGGCTGGTGGGCTCATGCGCATACCAATGGGGCCAGCTATCTTCTCCAACATGTTAACCAGTTCTCGGGCCTGATCCATTGCTCTCTTTGGGTAAAACAGTGCCCAGAAATGCATGGGGACCTAGGAATAACCACAAGCTATTTTTAGTACTTCTCATAACTTAGACACTCCAGAGTCACACCCAGGAGGTATTATTCTAGAGAATAAATTACTTTTAACTCTCTCTGCTTGAATCTTTTCTGATCTAAGTCCTGTAACTAACACAGATGTATACAATTAAGTAAACTGGGGACTACTTTCACAGTGGAGTAGTATGCAGCAATGAGAATGAAAGACCTACAACTATATCTAACAATATGGATGAAACCCACCAATCAAGGCTGAAGAAATTAAGCCAGACATAAAAGAATATATACTGTATGGTTTCACGTATACACCAAGTACAAAAAGCAACTGAAATGAATCTATGCTGTTGGATAGTGACTCCTCATATCGTTTTTAAGGTTGAGAGGTAGGTAGTAACGAGGAGCATGAGGGATGGCTTCTGGGTGATTGGTAAAGTTCTCTTTCTTAACCCTTGCTGTGGATTCCATAGGTTTATGAACCTTAGAAAATTCCTCAAACTTACACTTGTAAATATACTTTTTCTTTAAACATATTTCAATAAAAAGTTTTAGAAACAGATGTGTGTACTTTACGCATGGCCCAAAAACATTTAAAAATAATTATATACCATTTTGTTCTTTAGTTCCCTTGGTGGGGGCTGTTTTAATTACACTTCTTTCATGGATAAAAACATCCTTCCCCAGGGAAAAGCGCGGGAAAATAAAGGAACATAAAAGGGAGAATGGGTAATAGGCTGGCACTGTATGAGTTACCATAGCAATCTATTTCCTTTTCCTAATTCTATAGCCAACCAAAGTGCTTACCTCTAACAATTCATCAATTTGCTCTATTTGAAGGACCCATTTAGTAGATAATGCAGGATAGGAATTCAGGTGGTACTCTCCCTCCAAAAGAAGACACTGAATCCTTCCTGCTTCCTAATTTCCATACTTATAGGAATACGGGTCCTCTCTTCACCACCTCAAAAGTCACTTACAGTCAAGATGGAAAGGTCCCTGGTTACTTCCTTAATCCAGTTTAGTTCCTGAGATGTGATAAACGAAGTATTTCTTAAGTTAATTCTTTCCATTGGGAGAACACGTCCTTCAATCTAAATACAAAACAAAGTACCCATGACATGAGCCATCTGCAAACACTATTTAAGGAAAGAACAACAATACTGTTCTCTCTTGGGCCAACTCCACTATGTAAACCTGTCCAGGTTATAACCTCTGAGAATGGCACAAAAATGAAACTGTAGCAGTCAGTCTAGGCTAATAAAACCTTGGACAAATACAGGTAAAATTTTTATAGGCATGGCTTTTTAATTATTGAAGCTTCCAACATGGTCTCCCAAGAAAGGGATTAGAAAGCACTGCCTCTTTAGAAGTAGAGAATGCATGTAAAATAACTACATTTCAAGATAAATACTAAAATAATTTTTAAAAATATTTTAAGGGACAAACTGAAAGTAGAAAATTAAAAGTAAAATTTCTTAATAAGGCTGAACATAAAGTATTACACTTTAAAATGAAAAAACAGGGAGGAAAATGCATAAATATAATGACAATTTTTTTTTTTAAGATTTTATTTATTTGACAGAGAGAGAGAGACATCACAAGTAGGCAGAGAGGCAGGCAGAGAGAGAGGGGGGAGGAAGCAGGCTTCCTGCAGAGCAGAGAGCCCGACGTGGGGCTTGATCCCAGGACCCCGGGGATCACGACCTGAGCCAAAGGCAGAGGCTTTAACCCACTGAGCCACCCAGGCACCCCGCATAAATATAATGAAAGAACAAATTACCATTAGGAATAAGTCAATCAAATCTAAATACCCAAAGATAGGAAAATAATTAAGTTGATATAACAACATGATGGACTATTTTGCAATCATTAAAACCAGTTTCCATCTAATATGATCCTGTTTTTACAAAAAATAAATAGTAATGTATGCATCAATAAAAACTGAATGAGTCTATATTTAGTGATTATCTCTGCGGATATGTAATTATAGAGGATTTTTACTTTCTATGATCTCTACCATTTGTTTATTAAAATTAACAAATACTGGGGCTCCTGGGTGTCTCAGTTGGTTAAACACCTAACTTTTGATTTTGGTTCAGGTCATGATCTCGGGGTTATGAGATGGAGTCCCATGTCAGGTTCCATGTTCAGCGAGCAGTCTACTTGAAATTCTTTCCTTTTCCCTTCTGCCTCCCACCGCCCCCTGCCCGCCTCTTGCACATGTGCTCTCTTTCTCTCTCACTCTTGCTCTCTCAAATAAATCAATCTTCAAAAAAATACTTATTTTATCTATAACCAAAAGAATGTAATGAGTTTATTAACATAAGTAACAATTTCCATATTAGCAAGAAAAAGGAATCAAACTCATCAAAGTAAATTTTTAAACCTTTTTAGAGGGCAATTGGCAATATACAACAAAAGTACTAAAAACATAAATGTCCTCTGACATTTCCACGTCCATAAATCTATGAAAATAAACAACATTACAAAGACTTAGTTACAAGGTTGTTAACTGAGTAACTACTTCTAATTAAAAGATACTAAAATTCTGGGGCACCTGTGTGGCTCAGTGGGTTAAGCCTCTGCCTTTGGCTCAGGTCATGGTCTCAGGGTCCTGGGATCAAGCCCCGCATGGGGCTCTCTGCTCAGCAGGCAGCCTGCTTCGCCCTCTCTCTCTGCCTGCCTCTCTGCCTACTTGTGATGTCTCTCTGTGTCAAATAAATAAAATCTTTAAAAAAAAAAATACTAAATTCTTGGGGCACCTGGGTGACAGTCAGTTAAGCATCTGCCTTCAGGGGTGCCTGGGTGGCTCAGTGGGTTAAACCTTCTGCCTTCGGCTCAGGTCATGATCCCAGGGTCCTGGAATCGAGCCCTGATTCGGGCTCTCTGCTGAGCGGAGAGCCTGCTCCCCGCCCCCGCTCTGCCTGCCTCTCTGCCTACTTGTGATCTGTCTGTCAAATAAATAAATAAAATCTTTAAAAAAAAAAAAAAAGCATCTGCCTTCAGCTCAGGTCATGATACCAGGGTCCTGGGATCAAGCCCCGCATCAGGCTCCCTGCTCAGCGGGGAGCCTGCTTCTCCCGCTCCCTCTGCCTGCCACTCTGCCTGCTTGTGATCTCTCTCTGTCAAATAAATAAATAAAATCCTTTTTTTTTTTAATTTTTTTAAATTTTTTTTTAAAGATTTTATTTATTTGACAGAGAGGGAGAAATCACAAGTAGGAAGAGAGGCAGGCAGAGAGAGAGAGAGGAGGAGGCAGGCTCCCCACGGAGCAGAGAGCCTAACGTGGGGCTTGATCCCAGGATCCTGGGATCATGACCTGAGCTGAAGGCAGAGGCTTTAACCCACTGAGCCACCCAGGTGCCCCTAAATAAATAAAATCTTAAAAAAAAAATAAAGATGAACTTTTTTCTTTCTTGGTTTAGATTTTCTACATTCTCAAATTAATATTTAATAACACAAAAACATGTTTAAGATATAATATTAAAGGAAAAAGAAGATGCAAAACCATACACAATACAATCACAGCTCTGTAATAAAAAGATTTATAATCACAGAAAAATGTGTGGATGAAGGATATATATTGAAGTATCTTTCATATGTATCTAAAATAAATCACTGAGATATCATCTTTGGATGATGAAATTACTGATGTTTTTATTTCTTTCTTTACTTTTTGTAAGGTTTCAACATTTTCCTTATTGACTATCCATTACTTTTATTTAAAAAAAAGAAATTTTTAACAAGGAGTCAATTAAGAGTGTAAGAGAACTAGAGAAAAGACAGAATTAATTATTTTGGTATAACCTCAAATGAAAGGTGAAAAGTAGTAATGAGTAACGTTTACTGAGCACTTGCTATGTGTCACATATGATGCTGAAAATGTTACCATTTAAATTCTTACAATTCGATTATCATCCTCATTTTACAGATAAAAAAACCAAGAGATGCTAAGCAATTTGCTCAAAGCAACTACGATGGCAAGTGGTAAAACTGAGATTCAAAGCCAAATAAGCAGACACTGAAGGCCAAGGACTCTGCCACCATCTCACACTGCCTCTGCCCTATGGATCATGCCACACAAAATACAACACAGGAGGCTCAGGCAAAATGCAGGCAGAAAGAGCCATAAGAAAATCAGAATGGTGTAAGTGCAAAACTCTCTATGCCTATAGAAAGAATGTCAATAGTATATTGAAAGAATCACAATTATTGGAAAAGAAAAAAAAAAACTTGCAGAAAAAAAAGGACACACAGAACCTTAAGAATTATTTGGACTGGAAAACTGAAAATGAGGTAATTTTTTAATAAAGATTTATTTTTTTATTTTACTGGGTGGGAGAGTGCATGTGAGCATGGGGATGGAGACAGGAAGAAGGAGAGAGAGAGAATGCCAAGCAGAATTCTTGCTGAGAGTGGAGCCCAGCGTGGGGCTCGATCTCACAACCTTGAGATCATGACCTGAGTCAAAATCAAGAGTTAGGGGCACCTAGGCAGCTCAATTGTTGGGCGTCTGCCTTCAGCTCGGGTTGTGATCCCAGGGTCCTGGGCTGGAGCCCCACATCAGGCTCCCTGCTCAGCGGGAGGCCTGCTTCTCCCTCTCCTACTCTGCCTGCTGGTGTTCCTTCCCTTGCTATGTCTCTCTCTGTCAAATAAATAAATAAAATCTTTAAAAAACAAAACAAAACAAGAGCCAGAAGATGCTTAACCAACTGTCACCCAAGCACCCCAAAAATGAGTTAAATTTTAAGTCAATATTCCTTTTACTATCTATCTGACTGAAAATTAACAGCTCAGATCTCTGCAAAATACGGAAGAAAAATCTCTAACAGATACTAACAAATTAAGAGAAAAAAATTCAAATATTGTGGCTAGGACCCCCCAACAAAATAGAGCAAAACCCCAAAAGAGAGACCAGATAGGAAGCTATCACCCACTTTCACTACGCTCTTAAAAATCACTGATGAACACTGTTTCCTATTTGACTACATCCAGTTTACCTTATGTACATCCTTCTGAAGGCAGAGTCCCCAGCGTGTCAATTCATTGCTGGCTGTTTCATTTTTTGAAATTCTCTGCAGCAAGCATTCCAGAGCATTATGGTGTTGTTTGGGGCTCAGGTTGATCTGCTGGGTCAAATCCTAAATAGATTTAAAATGCAGATAATAAGTTCTAATTATTAGTTTCTCCAATATGAAATTAAACCCCAATATGTCTAAAACATTTCCAAAATAAAACATCCTTTCCACCAAAATGGGAGACATTTTTTTTTTAAGATTTTATTTATTTGACAGACAGAGATCACAAGTAGGCAGAGAGGTAGGCAGAGAGAGAGAGGGGAAAGCAGGCTACACGCTGAGCAGAGAGCCCAACTCGGGGCTCGATCCCAGGACTCCGAGATCACGACTGGAGCTGAAGGCAGAGGCTTTAACCCACTGGGCCACCCAGCACCCGTGATATGGAAGACATTTTTAAATACTCCAAAGATTTTAATAAATATCTCTCAAGAATGTGAAGGAAGTACAGGGTTAAAATTTTAATCAAAGGGTGGCTCAGTCGGTTAAGCATCTGCCTTCAGCTAGGGTCATGATCCCAGAATCCTGGGACTGAGTTCCACACCGGGCTCCCTGCTCAGCAGCAGGTCTGCTTCTCTGCCCCTCCCCAGCCTGGTGATTTCTTTCTCTTTCTCTCTCTCTCTCCCTCTGTCTTGCTTGTGCGCACTCACTCTCCCTCTCAAATAAATAAATAAATCATAAAAAATTTAATCATAAAATAATTTAAAATGTTATTGTTTCTTCCTCCCATGAGACAGCTAAATCTTACCTCTTTCTCAAAGCCATGTTCTGAATTTAAAAATTCCTAAAATAATTCAGGGGCACCTGGGTGGCTCAGTGAGTTGAACATCTGCCTTCGGCTCGGCTCAGGTCATGATCCCAGGATCTGGGATCCAGCCCTGCATGGAGGCTCCCCACTCAGTGGGGAGTCTGCATTTCCTTCTCCCTCTTCCTTTGCCCCTTCCCCACTCCTGCTCTCCCTCTCTCTCTCCCCCAAATGAATAAGATCTTTAAAAATATTTCTTAAGAAATTCTATGAAACAGGGGCGCCTGGATGGCTCAGTAGGTTAAAGCCTCTGCCTTCGGCTCAGGTCATGGTCCCAGGGTCCCATGGTCCTGGGATCAAGCCCCGCATCAGGCTCTCTGCTCAGCAGGGAGCCTGCTTCCCCTCCTCTCTCTCTCTGCCTGCCTCTCTGCCTGCTTGTGATCTCTGTCTGTCAAATAAATAAATAAAATAAAATAAATAATAAAATAAAAAGAAATTCTATGAAACAGAAGGGGCGCCTGGGTGGCTCAGTGGGTTAAGCCTCTGCCTTCGGCTCAGGTCATGATCCCAGGGTCCTGGGATCGAGCCCTGCATCGGGCTCTCTGCTCAGCGGGGAGCCTGCTTCCTCCTCTCTCTGCCAGCCTCTCTGCCTACTTGTGATCTCTGTCTGTCAAATAAATAAATAAAAATCTTTAAAAAAAGAAATTCTATGAAACAGGAGCAAAGGGGGCTTGATTACATCTATTTAATATTTGGGGAAAAAAGGGGGAAAAATGTCCTGTGCCAGGCAGAGCCAAACAAAACAGAATGGAAAACCAGATCCAGTCTTAAACTTCATGTGATACCACTACTGTATTTAATGTTATCATAAGACACTTTTCTGTCTAGTGTTGGGTCCACAATTTGTGCTTTCTAAATGTTACTGTTAAATGAAGACCCAAAGGTGTATATGAAGATTCTGAAGCACATATGTGAGTTCTTTATTCTTCTGGGACCAAAGAACTATACAGTTGTTGTTCCTTGTGAGACGGTCATTACCACCTGTCTGCAGGGCAGTACAGATAGCTCTGTGATCATGAAGTCATTAGGTGACTGAGTGTTGTAAAGAAGGAGCCTTGACCTACATGCTGAATGCAGAAGGATCGAAGGTAAACATGAAAGACATCTCTTACAGGAATGCTAAGCCTCACTTCGGGCTCTTTATGATGTTACTGAAAACAGTCTGCGGCATCGGAGATAGGCAGGGTCTGAGGGTAATGGACATGCACTGGGAGAGTGAAACAGCACAGGAGCTCAGGTGTGGAAAGCCCCATACACTGCAGACAGACTAGAGGTGAAGTGCTTGAGCGCCAGACTCATGTTGCTGCCCATGTCTGAGCTGCTCAGCTATTTCCTACAGGGACTCAGCCCAACACCTCCTGGACACTCCACACCCCACACCATAACCTTCTATCCTTTTACTTCAGTCTCTAACTTGTTGATTATTCTTTGCTACGTTATCTCCCTCGCCCTTTTAAATAGACTGAAGGCTTTTAAGAATGCTAGAAAAAGTCAGTGCTATCAAAGAACCTCACTTATGATCATATGACCAGTTTACAGTCATCCATCTGATTGGTGGGGGTGAAGACAGAATTACTTGTTTCCTTTTACCTCATGATCCAGGCACTCCACTGTTTTTTGTTTGTTTGTTTGTTTTTGAATAATTTTCAGAAGGTAGCTCCGATCAGCTATTTCACAGTATGTGGGAAGGGACATGGAACACGTTTGGCAGAGAGAACTGGAGTCTGGAAAAACAGACCTGCCCAGGTGATGACATAAGCCTGCCCAGGTCTAGCTCCATTCAGGACATGAGCCTAGACATAAGCCTAGCCCAGGTCTAGGCCTTCCATTCAACACGGGCATTTCTCACCTTCATGGCTCTGAAGTCCTTCTTCATCTTCTCAGGGATTCCAGTCATGAATGAAAGCTCAGGCAGCAGCAGGATTTCACCTTTTAGCAGCTTTGAGGAGAGAATGGAGAGGAAAAATAAGGCAGTAAAGATGGTCTTGTTCCTCTGACCTCACAAGACATGCCATGCCCAGAGCTGGGCCAGCAAGGACATAACTGGCACGATAAGGAACATAAAACCCCAGAAAAGAGGGCAGTGAAACACTACAAGTATTTTACCCTTTTCCCCTCAGTCACAATACTCACAGATTGTTCACAATACAGCCTGCTGTATTAGGTAAAAGGGAAAGTGTTGAAATGGTCCAAAAAAAGGGAAAAACTGGGGTGGGGGGACAACCTCCCTCTTGGGCCTCCAGGCAAGCTGAGGCAATACATGCCATCCAGCTGGGGTCTCCAGATCGTATCTTAGCTGGCTGATCTTCAGCCTTCTCACTTAAGACAGAAGAGTCAGTGTCAAGGCACTTTCCCTGTCTCTGGTCCCTGTTACCTGTCTAAAACTTCCCTAATAGATCCAGTGTTTTACTCTTTAGCAGAAAATTCTTCTTATTCCTTAACCTACCTTGCTCATACAGATAATTAGCTTCTCCTTATGCGGACGTCAAAAGCAAATCCTACCACATGAAGTGACACTACTGGATAGATGAGACAGCCCTGCAGAGTCTTCCCCAATCACACCACAACACTGCTCCCCAGCTCCCAGCACCACGGATGAAGAGCTTAAGCTAGAAGTGCCAATCTGACACCCCTCCACTCACCATCCCTTGGTTATTCTGTCTCTCACTGGGCCTGTGGATCAGCAGTGGCTGGTCCTCTTCCTTAATTGTGATCCCATAGTTTTTGCTAGAGCAGGGCAGAGGCAGAAAAACATTTCAGAAGCAGCATCCCTGTTCTATGGCAACACAGTCTGGGTCTCTTAACCAGCACTGTGGTACACAATTTGCATTATACCCTTGTCAAGGATCCAACAGAAACTCCTTATAGCATATTTATAATGAAAAGGCAGACTCAAGTTAACACTGCAATGAAATGGAGGAGAAATCATCTTAAAGGTCCAGGGGAAAATATGCTTGAAACTGCATCAGGTTGGAGTGCCTGACTGGTTCAGCCGGTTAAGTATCCAACTCTTGTTTTGGCTCAGGTCATGATCTCGGGGTTGTGGGATGGAGCCCCAAACAGGCTCCATGCAGAGTCTGCTTGGGATTCTCTCTCTCTACTCCTCTCCCCCTGCTCATGTGCACTTGTCCCCCACCCTCAAATAAATAAATCTTAAAAATAACACAAAAAACAAAAAACTGCATCACGTTGAAAGGCTTGGACAACTGGAAAGGCAAAATGATAGTCAAATGATTAAAACGTGAATTTAATCTTTCCAACCAGACTTCTACCTAAACCAACAAAAGAAATATAATTCAAAACCCTGGTATTAATTTATAAAGTAACAAAATTACTAAAACAAATGGAACTGTAAGGATAGCATATCCAAGTGAAATCCCACAAACAAGCTCATTTAATCTTAGGTGCATTACCAATCCAATTATTTTAAAAGTGTCCCAGTGTAAGCTACTATGGAACTCAATATCCTGCTACAGAATGGTAGACTACATCCCACACCCACCCAAAGGCCCAAGCCCAGTCTCTTCTTTCCACCTGTAGTATTCCAAGAATGTGATCTCCTTCCCGTCAGACATTGTGAAGCTATCTTTTGGTGTCTTATTCCAATCCACGTCATCAATACGATAGGTACGATTGTTGTATCGGGTTATAACAATATTGCCAACCAGAAGCTTAGTGCACTCATTCTGGAAGTTTTCTTTGTTCTGCTGATACATGGCATGCCTTTGGAAAGAGACAAAAGACTTTTGAATCATATCTGTATACAGAGAGCACAATGAAAAGGATGGGGGATGCAAAAAAGTGTTTCAGGGATATGATCACAGCTACACTGCATTAGAAGGCTCCAGTTGTCTTTTTTAAAAGATAAGACTCTCATCTCTTTTCAACAATACCAAAAAAACTCAAAATCAATAAAACATAGTGAACAGAGGGGCACCTGAGTGGCTCAGTCGGTTAAACATCTGCCTTCAGCTCAGGTCATGATCCCAGATCCCGGGAATGACCCCCGTGTCAGAGTCCCTGCTCAACAGAGAGTCTGCTTCTCCCTCTCCTGCTCTCTCTGCCCCTCCCCTGCTCTCTCTCTCTTTCAAATAATCTTTCAAAAAATAGTGAAAAAATAAAAGTAAAATTAAAAACAGTAACTAGAAATTAGTAACATTCACAGTTTGCCTTCAAATAAGGTACTTTAATCATCAAAATAATTATTTAGTATTACCATTATTAGGGTAGTCTAAGGAAGGACAACAAAACATTCTCTAAACTATATATGCCCTTTTGAGCTAATGGAAGGGATTACCAATACCTATCATTAGACAGCACTGCTGAAGATGCTAAAGATGTAGATGAACAGACTCACCATAGATAAATGTACCCTTACGGTAACCTCTAAACAGTGCTGTGAACAAGCCAACCTAGGAAACTCGCAGAAAGCATGTCTGAATATGCCCAGGGATTCAAGGAACGTTTACAGAAGCAGCTGATGCTTGAAGGAGCAATCTGCCAACGCCAGGGCAGAGGAATGAGTGAAACTCCAGGCAGAGGCAGCAGTATGCAGGGCATAAGCAGGGATCTGGGGAGATGGGGAGGGCAAGCAGGCTGAAGAGGGACAGAAGCATGGGCTGAAGACAGGCAGGGACCAGATGTAAATGTCCTTTAAGTCAAGGATCAGAGCTTGGACTTTTTTCTGAGTCAGTGTCACCCAGGGCAGATTCTTCAGGAACACTGGTCCCTTGAGAGGTTGTGAGAAGGTGTGAAAAAGGTTCCACAATCAAAAAAGTGGAGTCCATTGTGCAAGTTATAAGCCGTTCAGAGACTCACAACATACATAAGTACCTCAGACTGCTAAAGAAACATATTTACCTTTATTTACCCCCAGTGTATTTAACCATGGATTCTTCCCACCGTTTTCCTTTTAACCTCACTGAATGAACATTTATTGCCATCCTGGGCAATTAGTATCCTGCAGAACTTGACTTGAAAAAAGACTGTAGTAATTGATGAAAAACCATCTCAGAGTTTAAGCAGTTCAACCCTGACAACAGACCCTGGAGGCGAATGCCTGGGTTCAAATCTTGTGTCTTTCACTTACTGGCCTCAACTCATAGAGTTGAGAGAATGCAATAACTTCATAAACGTGAAGCACCAAGAACTGTGCCTAGCACAGAGAACGGAACTGTGGGTTTGCAAATATCATCTCCATCATTGTCGTCAGTGCCTGATACATGGCAGATGCTGTGTGTGTGTGTGTGTGTGTGTGTGTGTGCGCGCGCGCGCACGTGCGCGCACACACGCACGCACACACACATACATATGCATGCATGCGCATGTTGGGGGGCGCTCTACTCTCTCTGCAGGTCAAATACAGAGGAGAGACAGCTATAAAGATAGTTCACTTCAGGGGAGCCTCAGTGGCTCAAGTTGGTTAAGACTCTGACTCTTCATTTTGGCTCAGGTCATGATCTCAGGGTCGTGAGATCAAGCCTGGTGTCAGACTCTGTGCTGGGCATGGACCCTGCTTAAGTCTCTCTCTCTTTCCCTCTCCCTCTGCCCCCCACCACTTGTGTGCTGTCTCAAAAAAATGTAGGTTAGCTATATATATGTAGTTGTGGAAGTCAAAAGCAACCACTAGTATAGAATCCATATTCAAACACTTTTTATTTAGTTTTTTAAAAGATTTATTTATTCATTTGATAGACAGCGATCACTAGTAGGCAGAGAAGCAGGCAGAGAGAGAGGAGGAAGCAGGCTCCCTACTGAGCAGAGAGTCCAATGCGGGGCTCGATCCCAGGACCCTGGGATCATGACCCGAGCCGAAGGCAGAGGCTTTAACACACTGAGCCACCCAGGCGCCCCTCAAACACTTTTTAACTTGTAATTTATTTTCAGAACTCTTAATGAGTGTTTATGTTTTGTTTTGTTTTTAAGATTTTATTTATTTGACAGAGAGAGAAAGCACAAGTAGGCAGAAAGGCAGGCAGAGGGGGAGGGGGAAGCAGGCTCCCCACCGAGCAGAGAGCCCTATGTGGGGCACCATCCCAGGACCCTGAGATCATGACCTGAGTCGAAGGCAGAGGCTTAACCCACTGAGCCACCCAGGCGCCCCTTAATGACAGTTTTTAATATTCTCTCACCAAATCCCTTTCCCCTAATCACTATCTTTTGCATTAGTAAAGGCAGGAGGCTGACATGGAGGAAGAAAGCACAATGAAGAAAAAAACTAAAAAGGGACTGAGGAACACAGCAGATAACAATATAGGCCTATGTCTTGTTACTACAATATACAACATTGAAAAGTAGATAAAAATCGATTTCTTAACTGCAACTATTTCACTTTGACTTCTATACTGGGATTGAAATAAAAAATTAAAATAAAAAAAATCATGCTGAAAAGAAGGAAAACCAAACAACAAACAACAAAAAATGAGTATATACCATATGATTCTACACATACAGAATTCTAGAATATGGACACTAATTTCTAGTGACAGAAAGCAGAACAGGGTTTGCTGCCTGTGGTGGACAGAGAATAACAAAGGTAGAAGGAGGTCTGAAAGAGACATGAGTAAATTTTATGCGGGCAACAGATATGCTCATTATCTTCATTGTGAGCTTACATTGGTATATAAGTAAGTTAAAACTCATCAAATTGTATACTTTGAATGTATGAGGTTTATTTTGTCAATTGTCTTACTAAATCTGAAAAAAGAAAAGAAATTAACAGAATAAAAGATCTCAATGAGACTGAAATACAGATTAGGATTGAGTGTCCACTAATTACTAGTGGCATTTCAAGTTAGTGGGGGAAAAGGACCATTTAAAAAAAGGGTAAGAGGGGAGCCTCGGAGGCTCAGTTATTTAAGTGTCTGCCTTTGGCTCAGATCATGATATCAGGGTCCTGGGATCGAGCCCTGCATCAGGCTCCCTGCTCATCTGGGAGTCTACTTCTCTCTCTCCTTCTGCCATTCACTCCCACTTGTGCTCTCTGGCTCTGCCAAACAAATAAATAAAATCTTTTTTAAAAAAAGTTTTATTTATTTATTTGAGAGAAAGAAAGAGACAGCAGGAGGGGGAACATAAGCAGGAGGAAAAGGAGAGGGAGAAGCAGGCCTGCCGACGAACAGGGAGCCTGATGCAATGCAGGGCTCGATCCTAGGCCCCTGATAACATGACCTGAGCTGAAGGCAGACGCTTAACAACTGATCCACGCAGGTGCCCCCCAAAAAATACATGTTTAAAAAAGTGGATGAAAACTTGCTATCCATTTAAAAAATAAATTCTTCATCAATTTAACATTAATGTGTAAGAAATTAAACAATAAAATCAGGTGAAAATGTAAACATTCATGTGTTCCTGGGCATTAAAAAATCACAAACTTTGTAAAAGATATATTGTTTTGCAGCCATGGTAACAAGGAGCCATAAAATCCAGGTTTGTTTGTTTTCTTAAGATTTTATTAAATTCATCTGAGAAAGAGAGAATATGCAGGGGGTGATCCAGAGAGAGAGGGAGAGGCAAACTCCCTCCTGAGCAGGGAGCCCAACATGGGGCTCGATCCCAGGAGCCCGGGACCACAACCTACGCCAAAGGCAGATGCTTATTCAACTAAGCCACCGAGGTGCCCCCATAAAATCCAGTTTTAAACCTGCTTAATACATCTATATCAACTCACCTCAGCAACCTACTTTTCCAAGCTATCCAACCAGAGTCATCCCCTTGTTTCTGTATATTGGCCAATTCAGGAACAACTTAATCCAATAAGCATCACAAGGAGTACTACTCAATCAACAAGGGACTACCTTAGCAACCATGCTTCTGCTGTCCTGAACTCCATACCTCTCCAGTACTCCTCTCTGTAAGATCAGCAGTCTCTTCTCACTGCAATAAGCAATCAGCCTTCTCTTTATGTCAGAAAGAACAGAGGTCTCATCATCCTTTGACATTTCTGGAGGTCTCACCACAGTAACTATGGAAGCTCTTCCTTGGCAAAACTCCTAGGAGTTTCATACCCACAGATGCACTCACTGGGTCCCTTGTGCTTAATTCTATCTGTCCTTCAGATCTGCTGCCAGTGAGTCAATCCCAACAACTAGCTGAGCTCAGACTAGTTTCATTAGGCTTTAGCTGCTTATCTAATGCACTTTCAGGTTGGAAGTCATTGTTTGGACCCAGGTCTTTGTATGAGGTCTTCAGACTTTGTTTTGAAGAAATTTAATTTGAAAACTATTTTTGCCATTAACTTGATTACTCTTTATCTGCTTACTTTGCTTTTGCTGTTATTTGTCTATATGCATAAAATCTTCTTTCACGTGTTTTTGTTTTGCTCTGCATTTCCTTCTTTCTGTTAAATGTACAAGAGAGTGTTCTATAGGGAATAAATGGAGGCATAAGCCAGATAATCCTCTAAACCAAGCCAGTCTATTCCAAAGACATCACAGTTGGAGGTCCATTTGATCAGAGACCAATTTGTAAAAAAGCAAGTGGTCAAACATTAGGAAGGCACTTCTTGTCTTGGCAATTTGTGAAACAAGATCACTGTGTTTATTTAGTTCAAATTCCAGGGTCAATGATAGTTGGGTCACTGATCTCATGGCTCTTCCTATCTGTGTTTGGAACCTGAAATATGGTTCACAAACAACACATCCTTAGACAACTTTAGTGCTTCTCCTTCTTGTTGTCACAGGTTTGCCTCTGCCAAGGGCTTAAACGCCCTGGGAGAATTTCTGTTTCTAATATAAAGGCGTACCATAGTCCTAATTCTGGCACTTTCCTTAGCAAAAGGTAAAAATAAAATCACAATGTCCAAAGTGTACACAGTATATTCTCCAGTATAATTCATATGCTAGATCATAAAACCTCAGTGAATATAAAGGATAGAAATAATACAAAGTGAGTTCTCTGATCACAAAAGAAGAAAATTCAGGAAACTCACATACATGTAGAAAGTGAACACACTCCCTTAAATCATCAAGGGGTCAAATAAGAAATCACAAGGTAAATTAGAAAATACTCCGAGTTAGATGTAAATGAAAACACAACATACCAGAACATACAGCTACAACATTACTTGAAGGAAAATTTATAGCTGTAAAAGCCTATATTAGAAAGAAAAAATATCCCAAATAAACTAACCTTCCACCTTAAGACACTGGAAAGAGAAAAGCAAACTAAATCTTAAGTATGCAAAAGGAAGGAAATAATGAGTATTAAGAGTGGGAATTAATGAAATAGATAACAGAAAAATACAGTCAACAAAACTAAAACACTGGATTTTTGAAAAGGTCAACAACACTGACAAACCTTTAGCTAGACCACCTATGAAAAAAAGAGACTCAGATTTCTAAAATCTGGGATGAAGGAGGGGACGTTACAACTGGGTTCATAGAAATAAGAACTGTAACGGAACACTGATGGCAGTATGCCAACACACTAGATAAACTAAATGAACTGGACAAACTCTTAGAAAAACACAAATTACCAAAAATAAATAGAAAATCTAAATAAATATCTAACAATACAGACACTGAATTTGTAATTTAAAAACTGCACACAAAGAAAAACCAAAATCCAGATGGCTTCTCTGTCAAATTTCTACCAAGCATTCAAAGGAAAATGAATTCCAATCCTTCATAAACACTCTCAAAAAAACAGAAGAGGAAGGAAATACTTTCCAACTCTTTCTATAAGACCAGTATTACCCAGATATCAACACCAGACAAAGGTAACACAAGAAAAATACAGATACTGCTTAGGAATATGGAAAAAAATCCTCAAGAAAATATAAGCAAACCAAAACCAGCAACATAAAGAAAAAATTATACATCACGGGGGCGCCTGGGTGGCTCAGTGGGTTAAGCCTCTGCCTTCAGCTCAGGTCATGATCTCAGGGTCCTGGGATCGAGCCCCGCATCGGGCTCTCTGCTTAGTGGCGAGCCTGCTTCCTCCTCTCTCCCTCTCTGCCTGCCTCTCTGCCTACTTGTGATCTCTCTCTATCAAATAAATAAATAAAATCTTCAAAAAAAAATTACACATCACGGACAAGTGGGTTATCCCAGGAATGCAAGGTTGATTTAATATTGAAAAATCAATTTAAAAAGCAGGATGTTTTGGGTTTTTTTAAATGAACAAAACCCAATTCCCTTTCATGATAAGAACACTCAATAAACTAGAAATAAAATGGAATTTCCTCAATCTGATAAATGGCACCTACAAAAAACTCACAGCTAATATATTTACTGGTGAAAGACTGGATGGATATTTTTCTTCCTAATATCAGGAAAAGAGGACAAGGATGTCTACTCTCACCACTTTTTTTTTTTTCCTAGTTGAATTGTCTTTATTAGCAAAGGGAATATCTAAAAACACTACATTGAGGAGGGGCGGGGCCAGGGCTTTTCTACCCCTCACTTTCTCCACTCCTATTCAACATTGTACTAGAGGTCCTAACAGGATAACTCAGCAAGAGAAAGAAATAAAAGAGATCCAGATTGGAAAGGAAGAAATAAAAATATCTTTATTTGCAGATGACATGATCTCCTATATAGAAATCCCAAAGAATCCATGAACAAACTGTTTTAAGGAGTACTTGGTTCTGTGTGGATCCTTAGAAGGATGCTATTGAAGGATCACAGAATTTAGGACAGGAAATCTTTTTTTTTTTTCCTAAGATTTTGTATTTATTTATGAGACAGAGAGAGAGAGAGAGAGAGAGAGGGAGCACAAGCAGAGGGAGAAGCAGGCTTCCTACTGAGCACAATAAATTGTCTTAACTAATAAATGACTTCACAGGGGTTGTAGGATACAAGATTGATATTAAAAAAAATCAGTTGTTTTTCTATACACTTACTTGCAAGGAACAAACCAAAAATGAAATTTTAAAAAATCCATTTACAAATGCATCAAAGAGAATAAAATACTTAGGAATAATTGCAAAACCTATACTCTGAAATCCACAAAACATTGTTGAATTAGTGGTAAGTACATATAAAATTATATACTTAGAAAATGAAGATAATTTTTTTTAAATATTTTATTTATTTATTTGGCAGAGAGAGATCACAAGTAAGCAGAGAGGAAGGCAGAGAGATAGGAAGGGAAGTAGGTTTCCTGCTGAGCAGAGAGCCCGATGTGGGGCTCGATCCCAGGACCCTGGGATCATGACCCGAGCTGAAGGCAGAGGCTTTAACCCACTGACCACCCAGGCACCCCAAAGATAATTTTTATATGCAAAATAAGCCATTGTGCAGGTAACAAAACCAATCTTACACATACTACATAATTCACTTATAAACAGCTTTTGTGTAGTAATAAAATATGACAACTTTAATGAAAGTAAATGAAACTTTAATGAAAGTAAAACTTTAATAAAAATAAATTTCAGTAAATGGAAAAATATGCCATTCTTGTGAATAAAAGATTCACTGAACATTCTCCCCAGTTGATGCCAAATAAAATGCCAACTGACTTTTTTTTCTTACTTTCATTAAATTAGTCAAAGGATCACATGCAAAAATAAATGGGTGACATTTATTATGAAAATTCTGAAAACAGATTCCTTGACAAATATTAAAAGCTAATAAGATTACAATAACTAAAACACTGTTTTAACAGTATCACACTGATTTTAACCATGGATCAAAATAGAATATTCAGAAATAAATCCAAGTATTTTTATTTTTATTTATTTTTAGATCCCATTTATTTATTTGACAGAGAGAGCGACAGAGCACAAACAGGGAGAGCAGCAGAGGAAGAGGGAGAAGCAGGCTCCCGGATGAGCAAGGCACCAGATGTGGGATTTAATCCCAGGACCCTGGAATCACAAGCGAGCAAGCGAGTTGAAAGCAGACGCTCAACAACTGAGCCAACCAGGGGCCCCTATATTTAGTATTCTTTATCTGTTCTACAATTTAAAATCTAAACAGAACAATGGCCAATCTGTATTCAGCGATTACTGAACTTTCCAGAAAAGTGTTAGCTTGTTAAAAGTAAATACCATCATTCACTCACATGACATCCAGTACTGAATCATTCCGAATGACCTTATGGGAGACATCAGCTAGGAGAAAAAGACCTCCATCTGTCCTTCGGATGCTAGCTGCATAGCCTGGCCAGATCTGCAACCTGAAGAGACAAGAGAGCTTTACCTTAGGGTTCTAAAAAAACCACCCATACTTCCACGCCCCCATTTGAAATGGTTGAGCAAATACCGCCCCCCTCCCCAGTAAAGTGAGAAAGTACCACAAAACAAAGTAAATCAACATCTTTGTGAACTTACTAAAAAACTAAACTATGGAACAGATTTAACTGATAGATTGTATTTACAATCATAAAATACTGTTGAGATTTCTGTACTACATATGGTAATCACAATGAAAAAATTATTTCCAGAACATTCAAAAGTGAGGAAAAGAACACTACTGACCTGTGTTGCTGTAGTACCATAGCACTTGTAGGGTCATAAAAGTTTCTCCCCACAAGCTTCATATCTAAAAGTTTCATTACCCTGAAATGAAGAGCAAAAATGGGTCTTCTAGAGAAGAATAAAAAAAATTCAAGCTCAACTACTCTGAATTGTATTTTCCATTTTTTTCTTTCTGTATTTTCCTTTTGAAGCCTGAAGTGTCAGAATTGTTGATGCCCTTTGCACAATATACCTTTTAGGCTGAGAATACTGTTGCCAAAAGAAAAAGAAAAAGAAAAATTATGGAAGTATTTATCTTGAGGTAAATACAACTGACAACAGCTTGTCCTACGTTGGGTGACCAAAAACGGAGTTGATTTCCCAGGTTCAATTTACATTATTTTTCACCATTAACTAAAAAGAATGCAAGAGTCAATTTCTGTTTGTAAAGAAGTCTGTTCCTGGCACTTCATCTTACTAAGGAGAAATTGAGTTCTGTGTTTCATTTAAAAAGAGGTGGTGTAGGAGTAAGTTTTATGAAAATCTAGGTCTTATAAAAAGTAAAAACAATTATGAGCTGTGTGAATCCAAAAATCAAGAGACGTGGAAAAAAATTCTTCCAGCAAAAATTTTTGCACCCTACCACATTAAGTAGCCCCATCAGTAACAACATGAAATTATGCAATATAAACATCTGCTTTTAAAGTTCACGAATGATTCCAAAGGAACCCAACCAGCCACCTGAAACCTACCTTCATTTTACCCAAATCTTACTAATCATTTAACATAACTTTTCAGTAAGTTAGCCTCAATACCATCCATTTATTTATTAAATGTTTCCAAACTCATCTTTATATGTGTGGGGTATAACACCATCCAAGCTTCTTGAAGAGCACTGTTACAAATATAAGACTGAGATTAAAGAAAATAAGCTGTTTCCTCACCGACGGAAAACAACATTGTAGAAGGGAATGCACAAGTCGGAACAGGGCTCCAAAATCTTTGTCAACTGAATCTTAATGTTGATATCTGCGCCATCAGTTTTCCTTTGACTTTTTAGCTCAAGAACCTAACAAATAAATATATGCAAGTTAAAAAAAAAAAAAAAAAGACAAAAACTACCAAGCCCTAATCTAATTCAATCGTGTTCTAGAAAATACTAAAATGTCTGAAATATATTTTCTACTTGCCCCTTATTTTGCCTGTCCACACTGGCCCAAATCATAGCATAACAACTAGGGTTTTTAAAAAAAGGTTTTGGTGGGGCACTTAGGTGGCTCAGTGGGTTGAGCCTCTGCCTGTGGCTCAGGTCATGATCTCAGGGTCCTGGGATCGAGTCCCGCATCGGGCTCTCTGCTCTCTGCCTGCCCTCTCTCTGCCTGCTGCTCTGCCTACTTGTGTTCTCTCTCTCTGTCAAATAAATAAATAAAATCTTTAAAAAAAAAAAAAAAAGATTTTGGTAAGAGGACTGACTAGCAATAGATAGATGCCTTCCCACCATCTCAAATCTTAAGCCATTCTCTGTCACTGAGGTCAAAGGCTTCCAACCACTCCTCTTATGTGAGAAGAAACTTCTTGAAGAATTCAGATGAAAGTCTTTTAGTCTGACATTTCTTTTTTTTTTTTTTAAGATTTTATTTATTTGTTTGACAGAGAGATCATAAGTAGGGAGAGAGGCAGGCAGAGAGAGAGTGGGGGAAGCCGGTTCCCCACTAAGCAGAAAGCCTGATGCGGGGCCTGAGACCAGGACCCCAAGATCATGACCTGGAGGTTTAACCCACTGAGCCACCCAGGCGTCCCTTGTCTGACATTTCGTTGTTATGGAAAAGCCTGTCTTTCCTCTAAGAATAGCTAAGTAAAACTCAAACATCAGGATGTCTATGATTTTCTACCACTCAAAGTGCCAGAACTCTCTTAGGTTTCAATCCAAAATCTATTTCCTCTTTGGTCTTACTTGTTGAAGTTTAATAGGCAGATAGAGAATGGACCCATCGAAAGCAGTAACATTTCCGGTGACAGCTTGATGGTCCTTCAACATGCCAAACCTCATGCTTTTGCACTCCACATTGGGGCTAGAAGACAATAGAGAGGATTTACTTCAGTTTGCTTAAATGGCCAGCAATTTTTACTACTGCTCTCTAACAGGTTTGGTAGAGAACCAGTCAATTGTAACTACTGCTCCATCTAGTGGTCATATTAAAATTCAACTATATCGACTATGAAAGGAATTTCAACCCAATACCTGCTCACAGGAAAAAAACCTGTAATTCCACCACCCAAAGACAACTGCCTTAACATGCCAGTGTACCTTCTTCCTGACTTTGGACAAGAGGTCAGAAAACTTTCTCAGTAAAGGGCATGATAGCAAATATTTTAGTCTTTACAGGCCACATAGTCTCTACTCAATTTGGCCAACATGCATGAAAGCATCATCGACAATATGAAAACCAATGGGCCTGATTATGTTCCAGTAAAGTTTTATTATGAAACAGGCAGTGGGCCAGATTTGCCCTGCAGGCCAGCCATACTCTGCCAATCCCTGCTCTAGAGGCTGCAGAAATATACACTTTAAAAATAACTTTTTTTCACTTGTGGCAATTTCTACTTTTTATTGATTCATTGTCACAAATCTTACAGCTTTGAAAAGCTCCAGTAGCTACTTAGTACAATGGCTGTCCCATTTCAGATTAATAACATATACCCTTGTTGTACAACTATAAAGTTTAAACAAATCTAAGGCTAAAAAGGGTTAAGTATGTTTAAGTACATGATGAAAGATTAAAAAATCAATCAATAATCCAATACAGCTGTCCCCAAAAGTAAACATTCATATGCTAGTATCACATTTCAAAATGCTTCTCCAAAAATTCATCTACATGAATGGCGCTATGCCCTAAACACAGTATTTTAAATTGTCTCTCTGGACTTCCTTCACATAATACAAGGAAAGCCATAGGATAACGAGTCTACTACAATACATCTTCTCAGTATCCTCTGAATGGTCTGGCATGCTCTTTATATCATGGCTTCAAAGGTCTAGACCTACGATCTTGAAATTTATAGAATCCATGTCTTCTCCACTATCCAGTCAATGGAGAGACCCGTGAGGACTCACATTCCTTTCTGCTTCATTAACATTTATCAATCCATTTCCAGAAAAAGGTTCTTCCCTCTCATTAATGCTCATCTGTTTATGTTCCAGAGCAGGCCCATTTCCACTACCCTTCCCTCTCAGGGGTTAAATTTCACCCCCCCACTTTTTTTTTAGCTCCTTCTCTTCACCTACCACATGTGCTCAGCTTTAAAGCAATCTTGCTACTCTCTTTAATTATCAATCCATTTCTCATTTCTCTTACATACTTGTTACGTAAGTGGCCAATTCACTGACTATTTCCCATTGCCTGTGTGCTCCTTGGTTCTTTTAGTCTAGTTTTTTCTCCATAACTCTAACAAAGCTACTAGAAAATCAGCAAGGGTGTTCTTCAGAGTAAATTCAGTAACTTTTTTTCTGAGGCCAAAATCAACTGCCTCCTCTTCATTCAAAGGAGCTGTCTTTTGTCTTTATAATTTATCTTCAGGATATTTCCCGTAACTGTTCCTTTCTTTTCTCCTTCACTCCACTTACTCCTCTTACACCAATTAGCACCTGTGCTTCAAAATCAGTCTTCCATCTTCCTATTTTCTCTCCACAGATACTCCAAAACACTCATTCATTTTCACAACTCCAGCTAATATTCTCTAGCTAATGACTCTCCTGAGATTTTAACACAGGACCTGAATTCACAACCATGAAATCAAGACCTGAGCTGAGATCAAGAACTGGATGCTTAACAACTGAGCTACTCAAGTGCTCCCTTCCTGAGATTTGAAAAGAGAACACAAACTGACATGAATTCTTAATTTTTAAGAAGTATGAGAAACACTCAAAGTATTACTATAAGATTAATGTTATTCTGATTTTTTCACCCTCAAATTTCACCCTAGACTGTCACTGGAGAGCCAGTGGTATGGTATGAGACTTATGCAAGCAGGGTCCAGGTTTTGTGAGGTGTGGGTCTTATACCAGTGGGGTGGGGAGGAGTTTCCCTTTAAGAACAGGAATATAAAATTGCACATATAAAATGGGTTAAAATATTATGGAAGGGGTCTATGCAAGTAAAAGGCCCTGACCTTAAGCTTCACCAACTTCACAGCAAATCTGCCTTACAGGTGTATAAAGTGGCACCTACTAAGTTAAAACCTGAAATGGTAATAGAGCTAAACATGAATAATTTAACACTAAATTTATCACAAGGATCTGAGTTTGTGGAGGGACATTCATCAGGAATCACAGAGAAAAATACTCAGTTATCCCAGGGAAATTATTTCATTAATTTTCTCTAAAAAGTGAATACATAGAAAAAAAGTTGTGCATACCTGAAAGTCACATGATATTGATAAACTGCTTCATTATGACACTGTATTTTGATAAGGTTCAATCCCAAAGATTGTGGTGTTCCTTTTGAGCCTTGCTTCACAAAAGGCTCTCTGGAAAATAAAACCATGTATATATATCAAAAACAAAAATGCAAACAACTCATGCCACAAATTAAAAAAGAGAGGAAAAAAACACTAAGTAATACCTTACACTTAGCTTACACAAGTCACACAAAAACAAGCTTTGAAGGCTAGAGACTAAGTTCGTAGCAATCTCTAACTAGAGAAGCAATATTACCCTCTTTGCCTTGGTAATATCAATGGAATAATTGAGGCCAGCTAACTAAGAACACAAGAATTAGTTCCACTAAAAAAGATGAACTGTTGAAATATCTTTCCTAGATGATTTCCTAATCTTCGATGTGACAAAGAACTGGCTATGTCTGAATTGAGAAGGAAATGAAAAATCATTTGAATCTACTCTCTGGTACATACTACTTAAACCATCAACCCCGTTTCAATTCATCAGGAATTCTCCCACCTCTTTGTTATTCTCCCCACTGGCACAACCCCCCAAAAAAACAAAATAAACAACCTTGCAGTACCTACCACCCACAAAGGCTTTTAGACACAACAGAAAGAATGTTTACAATATTATGAGAAGGCCTCCTCCCACATCATTATCAAGCAGAGAAGGTGGTACTCCAGACTTACTTTTCCTTGTGTTCTACAGTTCCAAGTAGAGAGTGATCCAGAGGGTGTGGTGAGGATGGGGGCAGATGTGGTGGTGAGGACAGCGGGGTAGGATCCCGAGAAGTCAGGCCGAGAACACCAGGAGCCTTGTATACTCCTCTGCCTATACCACCAGCTGTTCTTCCCAAAGGTAAGAAAGATGTATCCGAATTCCCTCTTCCAAGCATTCTGAAATGTTGAAAAGAGAAGCAAATCAAGACTCTCTCAACCATGCTACTATCTATACCCCATCTAAATGATTCCTCCAAGTTTACATTCTTTTCCTGAAGGAGTCAGCAAAAGGGACCCAAATCTTGGGATTCTCTCCAGATCCAAATATGCCTCATTCACTAATTGCTATTAATACTGACTCTCAAAGTCAATTCCCATGGGCAGAATTGAGATGGAAGAGTGAATCAGGTTAAAGAACCACCAGAACCATGTTAACTTAATAGGGCAAATGGAGTTATAAACTGGCCAGCAAAGGACTGCTTTTTACCCTTTTCCTGTGACTGACTGGATCAGTGGCTACTGATTATTCTTGGAAAATATCCATTCTTTAATATAAAACCATGCACTGTTTATAAGATAATACGACCCTTTTCAGAGTTTCTCTTTGGGCTTATAAGATATTGCATCTGAATCTGACAATTACCCTTGAAAGCAACTTTACCCACCTATTCCAACCAACGCAGGCCTCTGCTATCTTGCTACCCCCAGCTGCCAACACAGAACGATCCGGAAAAGTGGGATGGGGTTCTTCTTTGTCCTTGCGCACCATACTGGTAGACAAACCTCGACCTAAAATGCCTCTACCTGGAAGGAAGGGCCAAAACCCAACTATCACTGTGAGATGAAGGTGTTATAAAGTACAATTTTTTTTTTTAGGATAAATTGTATGTCTTTGAGAACAAAGCAATCATACATACACACTACCACACTTCTTTTTCAAGTTAGTTTCCCACATACCTAAAGGAGGTATTTCCCGTTTCAGAGGGGTCCAGGACACTGTCTCAAGGCCCAGTCCTCGGAACATAGAGACCAAACCTACAGATTCCTATGGAAAGTTAATAGGTAGAGTTACTCGAAAATATATTTCAACAGTTATTCTAAGATGTGGAATGTGTTTCATTTCTAAGGTGAAATAACAGTGTTATTTCAATGACTGCATGCGACACACGTTCTGTAACACACGGAGGGAAGTGTTTAAGAAGACATAATAAAGATGTTTCTAATAACAACAAGACACCCAGAAACACTGATGGTTTTCTTAAAAAGTCTTGGTAAATAATAAAAATCATCGTTGAATGTTATACATGTTATAATAAAGAATAAAAATACCTCATACAAATTATTTAAGTAGTTTTTTTAGAGGTCGGAGGGGCAGATAAAGAGAAACAGAGAATCTCAAGCAGATTCATGCCCAGCATGGAGCCCAACACGGGGCTCGATCTCACAACCCTGAGATCATGACCTGAGCTGAAACCAAGAGTTGGAGCTTAAACAACTGAGCCACCCAGGTGCCCCTTTAAGTAGTTTTAATAAACACTTTTAATACTAACTATGTCATCGTAGGTTTTTAAGCATAAATACAAGTATAGTCCATGATTTGATGTACAGAGTAATTTTTTCTAGTTTGTTTCCTATATATCCAAGGTAACAGGGAACATGTGTACTAGCTCATAAATTTTCAGAAAAAAAACAGACCATTGGGGCACCTGGGTGGCTCAGTGGGTTAAAGCCTCTGCCTTCGGCTCAGGTCATGATCTCAGTGTTCTAGGATCAAAGCCCACATCCGGCTCTCTGCTCAGCAGGGAGCCTGCTTCCCCCTCTTTCTCTCTGCCTGCCTCTCTGCCTACTTGTGATCTCTGTCAAATAAATAAATAAAATCTTAAAAAAAAAACCAAAACAGACCATTTAAAAGAACCTAAGGTTTGGGTATTTTAAAACAACCTGCAACAAAACTTGCTACTGTTTTCCTGTGGCAGTCTTGAAAGTTTACTGGTGTTATACCAACTAGAGCTGCCACCAATAGACTCAAGCAAGTCATCAAAGAAAAAAAATACAAATGTCATCTTTTCTTCTGCCTACAGAACATTACATTTGACACTGTCTACTTAAAACTGTCATAACTGCATTATCAGGTTCTCCCTATATTTGTTAACTCTTTATTCTTTGAGATTTCTTAATTATAGACAAATACCATTCTTAATATTACTATAAATTAGAAGATTAAGAATGTACATATATGCAGTTGTACACACATTAGAAGCATAAGCTGAGGATCTTTTTCTTTAAGATTTGGGCAGAGCCCTCTACGAGGAAACTCCTTAATAATTATTACCTCAGAAGCAGGAATGGCTGCTAATACCATAGAACCAAACTCAAGGGAAAAATCTAAACACTCAAAAGCAGTATCTTTAAACCTGTCATTTACGTACATATATATATTTATACCTATAGAAGCTAGAGGACTGAGGTCCATACCCAAGTCTATCTAGCATTCTTTATGAGGCACTTTTTCTAAACTCACAACTCTAGGATTTGAAATATATGCCCAGAAAACAAACAAACAAACAACCCAACCAACGAATGAACAACAACAAAAAAAAAACCCAAATTTTTTTCATATAGGGCTGCACAGTTATTATAAACCTGTTATTCCCTCTGATGATAAGCTGTATACTGCTACTGTGCATCCAGACAGGGTCTTACCCTTTGCGCTGGCCCACTCCGTGGGCTTGGTTCCCCTGGCTTTCCAAACACATGGCCTCTGCCTGCAGGTCCTGCCCTGCCCAGAGCTGAGTCCAAAGGTTTGGGAGCTTGCAGCCAAGGGCCTGGCATCCGTACAGAGTGAGATGGGTGCACAGAAGTGCCCCTGAAGGGTGGTCGGACAGGATCCATTGAAAGGCTGCAGAGAATACCGATGTCAATCCTGTTCTGATCAATTACCTGCCGGCATTTTATACAGATTAAAGATTTCCAACTGTTTTCCTCTTCCTTCAAGACAGACTCACAAAGCATTAAAAGGTTTCTTTAGGTCAGACCAGTAATACAACCAACCTCCTATATCATATTCACTTCAAAAGGTCTATTTAGCCTGGAATATTCTAAACACTCTCTAGCAGCAAGCCCTTAAAAGCCAAGCTCTCGTCAAAGTTACATACGTTTTCTACCCAAACAGCCTCTCAGAGAACTCAGTCCTGTAAGTTAACCACCTGTTGTACAAGGAAACACTTTTTAATGTATGAACATGATTTTGGTTTATGAGCCAGTTCACATTAAATTATTCCCATCTTCCCCTTGGATCTCTGTAGTTCCATCTCTGAATCTTTATCCAATTCCTCTCTATAAAACTCCTTTTTCAAACTCTGTCAGAACTGAGGTCTCTAGGATGTAGATCCACTAAGCCTCTTCAAAACCACTTTGTAACCTATAGAATTCAGGAGTCCTTCTTTAAAGAGCTCCCTTCATCGCCCTGACCCACTCATGAGCCCCAAAGAATCCTTAACTGACAAATAAACCTCTTCTTAACATTTGCAAACCTGCCTTAAGCATTGACAAGACCGACAGAATTCCCAAATCAATATTACAGGTGGAAGCAGTTCAGGATCTGGCAAAAAAAAAAAAAATTTTTTTTTAAATTTTTAACTGGACTATTCTCTTTTACACAAAAATGGCAGGATATGCCTCGCTTCCCTAAAGGACACCATAGTTCTCTCCTTTAACTGCTTAAACTCCTTTTCGGTCAGCCTGGCCTCTTTGCTCACATCTTCCTAGCATCACCCAAAGAATCAGTTGCCCAACTGGTACACACTGAGGAGCGCTGTAACACCTGCCAATTACAAGATCTCTGGAATCCTCTCCTCTCCACTCCTCCCTCACCTCTACATCACTTCTGTGGATTCTGGCCCGTACTCCAAAAGGCCCTCCCTAAATGTGGACTTTTCTCCTTCGATTAGTTAGCAGAGTTGGCTACCTAAAATGTGCAACAGGGAAAGGCCTGGGGCCAGGCCTACCTTCCCCACCTCTCCAGGTGCCAGCTCTGGGCTGGGGCACTATGATTGGGGGCCTAACCAGAAGGGAAGCCCCTAAAGGCAAATCCTACCCTAGACCCCCACCTCAGAGGAAAGTCCCAAAACCAATAGCTTTGCTGGGGTTCCCACCCACTGTTCCATCCAAATAACTCTCCAGTTCTCTCAGACCCAGCAGGAGTCCCCTCTCTCCTTGGGCCACAACCTTTATACCTTTTTACAGGTCCTGCGTTTCTCCTACACACTGGGCGTCAAATAACGACTTCCCCCCTCTGGCCTGGTCCCACCTGGGGCCCAGTCTCTCGTGCCGGGGTGGGGGTGGGGTGGGGATGGGGGTGGCAATGGAGTGGGGTGGGGATGGGGCGAAAGTGGGGGTGGGGGTGGGATGGAGGTAGGGGTGGGGGTGGGGATGAGGTGGAGGAGGGTTTGGGGTGGTGGCGGGCGGAGGGTCCGTACTGGGCCGGAAGGATCCCTGCTCGCTACCGCGGGGTTGAGCGTAAGGCCACACAGCCTGCAGCAGGGCTACCTGGCCTTCCCTGGCCTTCTAAACCTCCGTTCGGTCCACACAGCAGGCTCGAGCCGTCGCCAGGGTCCCCTGGCCCTCAGGAGAACACAGCGCTTAACGCACCAACACGCCGAAGGGCCAACATGCTCCAGGCCAATTTCCGGTCCTCTCGCGGGGCTTTAGGGGCTCACCCCATTGGCCAAACGACGTGCCACTCACAGGATTCATCCATCTCATTGGCTCCTCTTTGACAAGAACCTCTCCCTTTCTAGCAGCTTTGGTCTACAGAAGTTTCATCCCCAAAAGGGCGTTTGAGATGGGGATCTGGAAGTTAGGACTAAGCCTAAGCATTGAAAGTATTATGTTTCCAACATCTGAAGTCTGTTCTGTGGGCAACTCCCATAAATACATTTGCTCAGGGAGGTCAGGGTAGTTTAGCCGGTTAAGTGTCTGCCTTTTGCTCAGGTCCTGATACCAGGACCCCCCGGATGTGGAGTCCTGCATCGGGCTTCTTGCTCAGCAGGGAGTCTGCTTCTCCCTCTGCCTGCTGCTCCTCCTGCCTGAGTGTGTGCTCGCTCACTGGCTCGCTCTCTCTTACAAATAAACTCTTAAAAAAAAAAAAATTGCCCATAATGAAGTCGACTTGCCCCATCTTTCCCAGAGGATATAAGACTATAGGCAAGGGTAAGCTTGAGTTTACGTTCAAATACCTAATTATCTCTGAGCCTCGCTTTCTTTATAAAATAGGAATAAAAGCATCCGTTCATAGGGTGTATGGAAATGTACATACATTAATAAGATGATGTACATAAATTACCACAATAAGAAGGTTGCCTGCAATAAATGTTGCCTGCTATTCTTATTTATTGATGTCTGAATCTGTAAGCCAAGAAAAGCTTTCTCCAAACTATATAAAGGTATTAGTGGTTAATTTTGTAATTACAGAGTATTTTCACCCAAAGAAATATGGACTTCTCACCCTTCTCCAAACATTTTGGCAAATAACTATACACCCTTCCAACCCCAGGTTTTAGGAGGTGGTTGGGGTCAAGGTTCAAGAAACCTCGGCTGATGCTGTAGAGACAGGCAAATGCTCGGCATGGACTATCATTAGAGGCTTTTCCAAACCTCAGATTCCTCATACCTTGTTTTAATCCATACATTCAAGGACTCTCCTCTTGTCAAATCAGAATAGAGTTTGAAAAGTACTGGCGCAGGAGGATTTACAAAGCACGGATCTAACTGGCAAGATACCCATTTACTCTGAAGGTATTTTTTGTTTAAAGGTAACATTTTAAGTTCTTCTACTCTACAACCTTCCTACCTTTCAATGTTACTATTTTCTTCTATTACATAGTAGGTAGAATTTTGTTGCCCAGGCAACTATTAGTAGCAAGTACGCTCAAAAACAGCAATACAAATTGTTTTGTAACCTTAGTAAAGTCCCAGCTCCCTGTCCTTTTAGGTACTTTGACCAAACTTTTCATGAAAGATTCATTCTGTGCCTAGAAAACAATATCTTAGGGGGAGGATTCAGAAGATCTTCACAATAGCAATTCTCAGAAAATGTTCTGAAGCTGACAGTTTTGGAACATAAACCAGGAGCATCATTACAGAGAGTAATGGTAATATGCAGTACAAAGGGAGTATCTAGGGTCCCCTAGTTTTCTATATCTTGTGCAAGAGTAGGTGGCTCTGTACAGTGTTTCTAGCCAATTCATACATTATAAAGAAAAATCCATATGGTATTGGTGTTGAGTGGAGATAAAGACGGTCGTAGCTGTGTAAGGTGTGGACATCTGCTTAGAATCTTTCAAAACCTAGTCAACTTCTCCTGGAGTTTATATTCCCCATCGGGGTACTTCAATTGCTAATTAACCATTTCTAGGATATTGATTAAAAACAGCACACATACATCATACTGTTTTAAGTATTTAAAATTAAATTATCAATGATATTCTCATAATGTTCAGTTCTGTCCACTTGGCACTGCCAGGCTCTAAGGCTAGGGGGGAGGATGACCTGTAACTATAAGCAATCTGGATTTTTCCCAGGCAATCATTGTAAGGTAACAAAGCCCAAATACAAGGGTCAGGTGGAGATAACGGCCCGAATGCAGGGATGAGTCGGGTCAGGTGGAGACATCCAATCAGTAAAGCGCACACACTGTCTCCCTAGCTACCAAGGAGTGTGGGCCCCGCCTTTTGAGCGCCAATTCTGACTAAGGTGATAGGCTAGTTCAAATAGCTACTATGGGGTGAATTGTAATTCAATTGGCCACCCATGTGTGACCTAGCATGACTGTGCAGCTTTCTCTGTGTGTTACAATCTCATTCGCCACCTGTGTGTGGCCAGGCCCAACCAAATGGCCTTTGCTCTATAAAAGTTAGTCTGTGAGGCAGGGAGCGGTCGCCCTCTCTGTAAGGGGCGGCCCTGACCGGTCTGTTTGACAGTCGGTTTGATTCTTGATGCTTGGCGCGAAATAAAGTTTGGCTTGACCTTCGCTTTGTATCACTCTTGCTCCTTTGACCATGGACCCATTATTGGGGTACCCAACATCATGACTTCAAATACTCTGGCCCTTTGTCCCCGTAACTACTTCCATTCTGACCACATTTCCAGATTATTTTTGTTCATAAAATAAAGTCACCACCGCCACAGCAAGATCAAGGGCAGAAAATTACATTGCCTGTTTGGCCTAGAAACTATAGGGAGGATTTAAGTGGAAGTAGACCTATGTCTGCAGTACCTCTGGGTTCCAGGTAGGGGTAAATACAGATCCTCCCAGGAGAAATACAGCTTCAAACGGGCCCCAAAGCTCCCATATACAGTGTCAATAGATATGAGGTCACAAGAAAAATAAACAAATCACAAAACACATTAGAATCAAAATGGGTGAACTGTTCTTTTGTTTTTTGTAATTTAAATTTAAAATATACGAGTGCACATTTAAATACACACATTCACTAGGCTCAATTAGGAGACAAAACACCCCATTAAAAAGTAGAAGGTGGGGCTCGTGGGTGGCTCAGTCAATTAAGTGTCTGCCTTTGGCTCAGGTCATGATCCCAGGCTCAGCAGGGAGTCTGCTTCTCCCTATGCCCCTGGCCTCCTCCCAGCTCCTGTGTGATCTCTCCTTCTCTCTCAAATAAATAAATAAAATCTTAAAAAAAAAAAAGGGAGGTAAGTGATTAAACTGATCTTTCACCAAAGAAGATACAAAAATAGCTAATAAGCACATGAAAATATGCTCAATATCATTAGTCATTAGGGATATACAAACTAAAACCACAATGAGGTATCATTTCATACCCACTAGAATGGCTATAATAAGAAAAACAGATAATACCTGTCATGGTTAATTTTATGAATCAATTTGACTGTGCCATCTCTGGAGTGCCTAAAGATTTGGT